CTCCCAGGGCACCCACAGACCCCAGAATTTGGGAGAGACCCCTCTGATCCCTCCCAGGGCACCCACAGACCCCTCAGTCCGGGAGAGACCCCCCTGACCCCATCAGGGCACCCACAGACCCCCGAGTCTGGGAGAGACCCCCCTGACCCCTCCCAGGGCACACACAGACTTCTGGGGGTTCAGGCACCCCCTCCCCATGTCGTCACGTATGGGGGTGCCCCCCACCCACAAACCCAGGTACTGAGGTGCCCCCCACACACCTCCAGGTATTGGGGTGCCCCCCACTCACGTCCTTAGGTTGGGATTGACCCCCCTGACCCCACCCAAAGCACCCACGGACCCCTGAGTCTGGGAGAGACCCCTCTGACACCATCAGGACATCCACAGACCCCAGAATTTGGGAGTGACCCCTCTGACCCAACCCAGGGCACCCACAGACCCCAGAATTTGGGAGTGACCCCTCTGACCCAACCCAGGGGTCACCCTCTGACCCACCCCAGTCACTGGGGGTGCCCCTCCCGTGCCCCCCAACCCCTGGGCACCTTGGACTGGTTGTTTTTGAGGCGATGGGCCTCGTCCACGACGAGACAGGCCCAGCGGATGGAGCCCAGCGCCGCCTGGTCGATGGTGATCAGCTCGTAGGACGTGAGCAGCACGTGGAACTTCACCTGGGCCTCCCTCTGCAGGGGGGGGGTCAGCGAATGGGGAGGGGGGCCAGGGCACCCCCACCCCATGGGGACGCCCCTACACCACCCCGATACCCCTCTGGGGGGGATTGGGGGAACAGGGCACCCCCACCCCACTGGGACCTACAAAACACCCCTGATCCCCCCCTGGGGTGGGATTGGGGGAACAGGGCACCCCCACCCCATAGGGACCCCCCACACCACCCCAATACCCCTCTGGGGGGGGGATTGGGGGAACAGGGCACCCTCATCCTGCAAGGACCCACCCACACCACCCTGATACCCCTCTGGGGGGGGGATTGGGGGAACAGGGTACCCCCAACCCACTGGGACCCCCCCCACACCACCCTGATATCCCTTGGGGGGGAATTGGGGGAACAGGGCACCCCCACCCCACTGTGACCCCCACACACCATCCCAATACCCCCCCGGTGGGGGGTTGGGGGAACAGGGCACCCCCACTCCCTTGTCCCCACAGTGACCCCGCTGTCTGGGTGCCACCCCCTCATCCCATACAGTGCCCCTGGTGTGTGGGTGCCACCCCCTCATCCCCAAAGTGCCCCCTGTGCCCGGGTGCCCCCCCTCATCCCATACAGTGCCCCCGGTGTGTGGGTGCCACCCCCTCATCCCATACAGTGACCCTGTGCCTGGGTGCCACCCCCTCATCCCATACAGTGACCCCCGTGTCCGGGTGTCCCCCCTCATCCCATACAGTGCCCCCCATGCCCAGGTGTCCCCCCCCATCCCATACAGTGCCCCCCGTGCCCAGGTGTCCCCCCCCCATCCCATACAGTGCCCCCCGTGCCCAGGTGTCCCCCCTCATCCCATACAGTGCCCCCCGTGCCCGGGTGCCACCCCCTCATCCCATACAGTGACCCCGGTGCCCGGGTGCCACCCCCTCATCCCATACAGTGCCCCGGGTGCCCCCTGCCCTGCCCACCTTCATCTTGAAGGCCTTCTTGCCGCCCTTCATGGCGTTGTCGTCGAAGGAGAACTCGTTCTCGCGGATGATGGCCCTGCTGTCCTTGTCCCCGGTGTAGGTGACCACGTAGAAGGCCGGGGCCCACATCTGGAACTCCCGCTCCCAGTTGATGATGGTGGAGAGCGGGGCGCTGACGAGGAACGGGCCCTTGGTGTGGCCCTGGGGGACAGCGCGTCACACGGGGACAGGGGACGGGCCCTCGGGGTGGCCCTGGGGGACAGCGCGTCACACGGGGACGGGGGGACACGGGGATGGGTCCTAAGGGTGGCACTGGGGGACAGTGGGACACACGGGGAC